TGGAAAAGAGGAGGAGGAGGATTGTGGGGTCCTTGATGATCTCTGAGCTTGGTGGTTTTCTTGCAGACCTTTCATGACCCAACTAGGGAACATCATCAGTGCACTGAATGAAGTTATCTGCTTGGGTCACGAAACGTCTGCAAGAAAACTGCCAGGCTCGCAAATCAAATTTTGCACAGTGGTGTGTCTAAGCAACTAAACCGAAGGTTGCAATGTGGAAATTCAACGTGTGTGTGTGTGTGTGTGTGTGTGTGTGTCTTTGAAAAGAGGCCCAAAGTCTGGGCTGCAGAGCCAGGCATGCCTCTTGGGCCAAAAGGAGAATCTCCAGAAATTTGGGACTCGGAAGGATCACATGGCCACAGCCATCGCTCTTCACCCCAAATGCCTGAAGCATCATTTTGTGTTCCTGCCCAAGTCCTGCTGTGCCTTCTTGGGTCTTATACCTGAACAGGTGAAGGGGCCCTGGGAACTGCTACCCTTCAACGCTTGTAGGTGAAGGGGGGGCTTTCCAGGTCACATCGTACTGCCTGCACCTCAAATGGTGCATTTTTTGGCCCGCTTTAAATGGTTGCAAACCATGCATAGAGCAGTAAAAATTGTTTACCAATGCAGACCCCCCTTTTTCTCCTGCCCACCCAATTCCCCACCCCCCAATCCTACACATTTGTTTTATTATGTTAAACCGATAAGGGCAGCACTATTACTTCCCCCCCCAACCTGGGCTCTTTACCAGGGATCTCATAAAAAGGTTCTTTGGGCCATGGTTCCCTGCGGAACGATTTGTGCTGGAAATAACCCCGATTCAGAGAAAGGAGGGAGAACCAGTGCAATCCTGTGAGAGATCTACAGGATCTAAAACAGGCCGAGAAGGGAATCTCTGTCTGGTTTTGTTGAGGGGTGGAGAGGGACACGCAAAGGGACGGAGTGAGGGGGGGGGAAAGCGGGAAGAAATTTGGAAGCCAGAGCATTTAAAAAGAGAAATAAAGAGGTCAAAAAAACCAGAAAGCCCTTTTTTTGGCATGCAGAGATTGGCTCAAAGCACCTGCAGGGGTGGGCTTTAACAGCACAGAAGAAGAAATTGGGATTGTGGGGCAAAGGGCAAAGGCCTTGAAGATTTGGGGGGTGGCACCCTGAGAAATTCAGTCTTAAGACACAAAGGGAGGCCCTTCCAAGGTTTAAACCCAGATCAGACCAGACCAGACCACACCCCACCCATCCTACCCCAAGAATAAGAATAGAACTAGAATAGAATTAGAATTAGAACAGAACAGAATTCAGGAATATAACAGAATAAAATAGAATATAGGAATAAGAATAGAATAGAGCACAATAGAATAAGGGCACTTAATGCACTTGCCATGAAAAACTTCCATTTCTGGCCTCCATCCTTCCGGGTCTAACCTTTCTTCGATGTCAATCATGGTTTCCCTCCCTTGTGTGTTTCCACTCCCCATTTCTAGTTTTTTTTTATTTCCCTCCACCACCACCCCCTTTTTTAAAGGCTGCCATGTGCATGCAAGCTGTTCACTTACCTCTATTTGGCCCCGAAGCCCTGGAAGAATATTAATTCAGTAGCGGGTTCTGGCCCAGTTCATTGCAGCTTTGCACCCCGCCCAAAAAAATAAAATGGCAATTTCGACTTGATAGTCGCGGTTGCAAAAGAAAAAAGAAAAGAAACTCGTGCCCAGGGGCGGCAGAAGCGGCTCTGGCTCAAGCAAAAGAAGTATCGCTTTGCAAATGTGGAGCCTCGCCTCTAAAAATGCTTCCCCCCCCCTTTTCCCCCCCTTAAAAGTGGATTATTAGCGAAGCCAGGCAATCTCCCAGCTGCTGCCTTTCCCCCTAATAGCACTTTTTTCGGCGCTCTAGGCTGCTGGAGAGAAAGGCCCCTTGCAAGGAGGTGTCTATCCGATTGCCTGCCCCGCTCGAATACACTTTTAGCTGGACCGTTTTCAAACATGATATTTCTCTCTCGTGGATGCTAATTTCCCTTCCCCTCCTCCCCGGGCCCGGCAATTGGATATTTTCCCTGCTCCAACCAGTTGTCCCTTGCAGGCAGTCAGCCGGCCGCCTCAGTTCGGTTCTATTGGAAAAGATAGGGCGATTGCAAGGGGGCCTAAAGGGGGGAGTCGTCGCGTCTTGATTGCAACCTAAATGGAACGGCGGCCAGCTTGCGATTCCTTCCCTGCGCCTGCCATAACGAAAAACCTCCACCAGGTGGCAGGCTATTATTGTTAATGTGCAATTTCTTTCCTCCACCTGCAATGACGCAAAATGGCCACGAGATGGCGGACTATTATTGTCAATGCAATTTCCCATAGACTTTGAAAACCGCCGTTTTCATGTAATTTGAGGTCTATTTTCACCCCGTTTTCCCCCCTAGAGTGATGGGGGGACTCAGAGTAAGGCCCCTCGTTGGATTTCGCCACATTTGTAATCTGATTATTTTTATTTGGGATTCCTTTTACTTTTGGGATTCCTTCCCTGCACCTGCCATAACGAAAAATATCCACCAGGGGGCAGGCTGTTATGGCTGTGCAATTTCTGTACTTCACCTGCCATGCGCAAAATGGCCACGAGATGGCGGGCTATTATTATTAAGTTCTTTCCTCCCCCTGCCATGACGCAAAATGGCCACGAGATGGCGGGCTATTATGATTAAGTTCTTTTCTCCACCTGCCATGACGCAAAATGGCCACGAGATGGCGGGCTATTATTATTAAGTTATTTTCTCCACCTGCCATGACGCAAAATGGCCACGCGATGGCGAGCTATTATTGTCAATGCAATTTCCCATAGACTTTGAAAACGGCGGGTTTCATGTAATTTGAGGTCTATTTTCACCCCGTTTTCAATTGGGCGTTTTTCCGCGAGGCTGAGAATTTTCCCGGAGTCCCCTCGGCAAAATCAGCCGCCACCCGCTAGTTTGCTGGAGATAAAGGCCCCTTGCAAGGAGGTGTCTATCCAATTGCCTGCCCCGCTCGAATACACCAGCTGGACCGTTTTCAAACATGATATTTCTCTCTCGCGTGATGTTGGTTTCCCTTCCCCTTCCTCCCCGGGCCCGGTAGCTGGACATTTCCCTGCCCCAACCGGTTGCCCCTTGCAGGCAGTCAGCCGGCCGCCTCAATTCGGTTCTATTGGAAAAGATAGGGCGATTGCAAGGGGGCCTAAAGGCGGGAGACGTCGCACCTTGATTGCAACCTAAATGGAACGGCGGCCAGGAGCGGGAGGGGGCTGATTTTGCCGAAGGGACTCGGGGAAAATTCTCAGCCTCGCGGAAAAACGCCCAATTGAAAACGGGGTGAAAATAGACCTCAAATTAAATGAAACTCGCGGTTTTCAATATGGGAAATTGCATTGACAATAATAGCCCGCCATCTCGTGGCCATTTTGCGTCATGGCAGGTGGAGTAAAGAAATTGCACAGCAATAATAGCCTGCCACCCGGTGGAGATTTTTCGTTATGGCAGGTGCAGGGAAGGAATCGCAAAAGTTAATATAAATAAAAATAATCAGGTTACAAATGTGGCGATATCCGACGTGGGGTCTTACTCTGCGTCCCCCATAACTCTAGGGGGAAAACGGGGTGAAAATAGACCTCAAATTACGTGAAAACCGCGGTTTTCCAAGTCTATGGGAAATTGCATTGACAATAATAGTCCGCCATCTCGTGGCCATTTTGCGTCATGGCAGGTGGAGGAAAGAAATTGCACATTAACAATAATAGCCCGCCATCTCGTGGCCATTTTGCGTCATGGCAGGTGAAGTAAAGAAATTGCACAGCAAAAACAGCCTGCCACCTGGTGGAGGTTTTTCGTTATGGCAGGTACAAGGAAGGAATCGCGAAAGTTAATATAAATAAAAATAATCAGGTTACAGGACTGGTGAAATCCGACGAGGGATCTTACCCTGAGTCCCCCATTGCTCTAGAGGGGAAAACGGGGTGAAAATAGACCTCAAATTACATGAAACCCGCGGTTTTCAAAGTCTATGGGAAATTGCATTAACAATAATAGCCTGCCATCTCGTGGCCATTTTGCCAATAAGCAAATAACAGGTTACACAGTTACATAAATAAGCAGTTCCTAAATCAACCATTAGATGGCAGATTAAAAAAAAATGTGTTTGTACCCTCCGGTGGCCATTCAGGGTATTTCAGCCTGGCAGGCAAAAAAAGCACCATCTGTAGCACAGAGTATGAAAACAGTGCCCTCCGGTGGCCATTCTGCCTTACAGGGACTAAATAGACCATCCTATAACATCTTGTGGCAGTCCCTGAAATATTGGAAGACTGCTATCATGTCCTTTGTTTAATTAAATTAAGTAAAGGTAAAGGTTCCCCTTGCACATACGTGCTCATCGTTTCCGGCTCTACGGGGCGGTGTGCTTATTTCCGTTATAAAACCGAAGAGCCAGTGCCGTCCGAAGACGTCTCCGTGGCCATGTGGCTGGCAGGACTAAACGCCCGTTCCCTTCCCACCAAAGGGCTCCCTATCTTTCTACTTGCATTTTTTTATGTGTTTTCAAATTGCTAGGTTGGCAGAAGCTGGGACAAGTAACGGGAGCTCACTCCATTCCGCAGCACTAGGGATTCAAACCGCCGAACTGCCAACCTTTCTGATTGACAAGCTCAGCGTCTTAGCCCCTGAGCCACCACATCCCTAATTAAACTAGACATACCCAATTGCCTCCTGGCATTTTTTCCAGCGCAGAGCAATAGCAATAGCACTTAGATTTATATACCGCTTCACAGTGCTTTTTACAGCCCTCTCTAAACAGTTTACAAAGTCAGCCTCTTTTGCCCCCAACAATCTGGGTCCTCAGTTTACCAACGTCGGAAGGACATAAAGCTGAGTCAACCATGAGCTGGTGAGAATCGAACTGCTGGGAGCTGGCAGACAGCAGAAGTCGCCTGCAATATTGTGAGTCTGCATTAGTGCCGACAAGTCCCACATTGGGGGAGGCGCCAAACTGACGCAAACTTCTCACCTATGGTAAAGCACCTGATATTCAAAGAGATCTCAGATCTCTGAAGAGGCTCATGAAAGTCAGAGGAGATCCGGCCACACAGGATTGTGGGTTTTTCTTCCTCCCCCTTCGAGCACAGCAGCGTTTGTGAGTTTGTGGCACGGGACATGAAGCGGAGTTTGGGGTTGATTTCACTGGCTGTGTCTCTCTGGTCCTCCCTGGGATGGGGGCTATCGTGTTCGAACAAGGAATATCTCCTCCCAAATGGGAAATGCTGCAAATATTGTCCACCAGGTTAGTGACGCTGGAGATTTTGGGGGGCATTTGAACTCAAATCCTGTTTGAATCCACCCTTTCTGCATTTATGGGTTCCTGGGCTGTCACTTTAGGAAATACCCAGGTTGTTTTTTTTTTTATCCTTTGCATTCTGGGGCTGCTCTATCCAAAATGGTTTTCAATTGTTTGCAAAGGGAAGAAAAAAAAAATCAGATTTTTCTGGCTGGCATAGGGGGAACTTGGAGGTGTCCTTGATTCTCTAGCACTTTAAAAAAAAATACTAATTTTAAAATTGACATCCAATGCTGACTCTGCTGTATTTTGGATTTGCCACTGACATTGTCCTGGATGTTTCTCAGCCCTCCCAGTCTAGCTTACTCAGTTAGAAACTCCTGGTGGTCTCCCATCCGAAGACTCTTGGGTGGCAGTTTGAGGAATGGTCCCAAATTAATTGGATGCTGTCTCTTTATTTAATAATCAGGCTTGGTGTGGTTTGAATTGCAATGTTGATTTCTTCTGAAAGGTTCAGTCAAGGGGTACGTACCTCAC